GCAAAATAGTGTGTTACGTATGTGACTCGAACAAGAGAATGTGTTATCTTGACTAGTCTAATACCATTCATTTTTTAAACACAAACAAGTCATAATAAGTCATAAAATTAAATCTTTTTTTTTTTTTACATTGTGGCAACAGGGCAGCAGTGAGGTCCTTACGGTAAAAATGAATTCTCTGTCCGCTGAAAACCCTTGTGCAGTGACTTTTTTTTTATGTAATGCGTAACTGGTCTGGCAGAGGGTATGCCACCTACTTGTCTCGATTATTGCTTTTCCTGGAAAGTTCCACAGTATGATATTAAACTTGTCTATCCCCATGGTGACAAGCAGTTGGCACCACCAGGCTATGTTATAGGTCAGGTCAATGTATAGGTAAATTCACTCACATTAAGAAATGATTTGTGAAGAACATTTTCAAGAATGTTCTGCACAAATCATTAACAGCTCCATGCAGACAAGCAGGTGGTGTAACTCCACCAGAAATGTTACACAGTGCACTTTTAAAATACAGATTTGTATTTCTTGATATGGCAATAACAGATTAATTTGTGATCTGTTATGTTGTCTTTCAGTGATACAAATACTGTATTGAATGGAGTGAACCTGAGCATTTGTGTAGAATTTTGCAGTGAATTCCATCTTAAAGTACTATCCAGGTTGATGGTCTTGTTTTCTGTTTCGCCCTCAGCCTCCTCTTAGAGTTCTGAGACCTCTGACCAGATCCAGGAGTGCGCATTCCTCCAACAATGAAGCCATGTGAAGGTGCGCTCCTGATGACAACTGCCTTTACTGCAAGTCCAAACAGTGAATGGCCTAAAGCTCAGAAGAAACAGCCTGGCTTTGGAAAAAGGTAGAACCAAAGTGCTGCTGACCCTCCTCAAACCCACACTGCTTGTTGCCCTGGTCAAGTAAGAGACGCTTGAGTGAATGGACTTCGCTACACGCTGACAGTTTTTAGTTCGATTGGATTATTGACTACGTGTATTTATGTATGTACAGTTGTGTGCACCTTACCTTGGTTACAGTATATCATCTGTGTGCATCTGCATGTGTCTATTATTAGTTTGTACTTAGCACTAAGAGTTGAGCTAGATGTCCCCTCTGGCCTCTCTCAGTTGTCACACCCAAATAGAACTGGAGACAATATTCTGTAACTTACCCCGTTACAAAGCCTTAAATTGAGAGAGGTGAAAAAACAAATGTCTCAAGTACAATATGTGTTGGAACTATTTTCATTTTAGAATATAGTATATTCTTCACAAATTCGTGTTATAACATACTCCGTGAAATTCTGTATAATAGTAAAATCACTGGAGCTTATTTCACTGATCAAGACAATCTGCATTTAATGACACTTAATAACACACAAATAAATGAGTTTTCCGAAGATAGAAATGATACCTGTACCATCGGCATTGATACACAGGGTTCTACACTCAGAGTGAAGTTACACTGTAATACCGACCGATTCTTAACAAACTCACTGTTTTACACGTCTCACGTTAATGTAGACTGGTAGCATACTATTGTAGCTTTATTCTGTTATTTACTGAGCCTCAACTTTGTCCTGATGTAATCAACATTTGCTGGTTTCAATTAAGTTGTTAAGGGTGGTTTGAACAAGCATTTCTCAGGTACAACTGTTCTGTTTACACATCATCTCCCTCTTGTGATTGAACCTCTGCACACAAATGTCGTTTTCTGCCAACATGTGAAAACAGATGGTTTAAGCATTTGTAGTCCAGTGTTAGTGTTGCAGGTGTTGCTCAATTTCAAAATTTTGCTAAGTAGCACATTTGTACAATTGTGCATAGACTGATCTATATCTGCATGTTTATTATTCATTTATATGAAAAACCCTTTCTTAACTAAACCTCTTCACCCTTGGCCTACTTACGTTCTTTCTTCTAAATATATCATCAATCTGTACATTGAAATCACTGTTACTGATGTACTGTTATGATTTACGTGAGACCCCTCTCTAAAAAGATGGATTTTTTCTGGCAGGCCAGAATGACAAACGTATTGAATAAGTGAAAATAAACAATAAAAAGTATTTGTGATTGTAGAGTGGTGAAAATCATTTGAATGTTTCAAATATATTTCTGTTAAAACTGAAAACCAATCATTAAATGTGAAGCAAAACTCTTGTCTGTTATTTTAATTTATTCATGAATACAAGTTTTATTACAAGATATTTACACAGAAAAAGGTCATCCATTAGAATTTTAGATTTGTTCGGTCATGATATGTCAGGTAAGGATCGTTGAGAAACCAGTTCCTCCTTTTCCAGAATGACGTGGTCATTTTGTCCAGCAGCCTGCTCTGGGTCTTGTTACAGAAGACATGCTCCCTCAGGCGTCTGCGTCTGGCAGGCATTTTCTTCCACAGCTTCTTCTTGTACCCAGCCTGCACACAGCCAAACATACAAATATTCAAATACAGAAATCACTTTATACTTTCCATGTGGATTTTAAATATATATGACTAAACACAGGCAAGATATAAAACAGCAGAATCCGCAAATAAGAGTAGAAATATGTATGTATGATTTATGATTATTATTGTGATTAAGTTTTGACCACTGCCCAGTGAATGCTTGTTATGTGGGGAAAAAAGTAGAAAGCTTGTAATCAAATATAACTTGATGTAGTATTTGGTGTGTGGATATTATGTCTGCTCTTCTTACACTGTACCCAGAGCAACTTCTCATGTTTCCCTCCAGAGAAAGTGAAACCCTTTTCTGTCATTCCAAACCAAATGTTTATTCTGCCTTCAACTGTTGGTGCTGTAATCCAACTAACAACAGGAATGTCCATAGAGATTTAACAACCTAAATTATCTTGATATTTCTGAGTGTACCTTGCGTCTTATCCAAAGGCCACAGTGCAACCTCATGAACCTTTCAGGGACAGACTTGCATGTTTTCCTCTTCCCCTTCTTCACACTGTAGTAGGTAATCTCTCTGCTTGGCTGCTTAGTCAAACTGGGAGCAAGAGGGCACACCCTGAAAGCACACATACAGCACATCAGTATCATCTGTACTTTAACCAAGTTACACTGGGCTACCTGACCAGAACATCTTGACAGTTGTGAATTGCTATACCGTATATTATCTGTGTAACCTTTCTGGCAAAGAACAGGGTATCGGGGTCTTAAAAGTCTTAAAAAGGTCTTAAATTTCATGTTCCTAAATGAAGTCTTAAATTATTTTGTCCAAGTCTTATTTTTTTCACAAAGGTCTTAAATTTCATTAGCCTATTTTTTGTATACTCAACCGGGCTGCAGTGCGATGTTAAATGGAGGGAGGAAAAATGAATGATTAATGAATGTCTAATTTGGAATATGCACAAACAGTACTTTGGTTTCTGGTGCCGGCGGCAATGAGTAAACTATCAGTACAGTGGCGGAAGATGTTGGATGATCACGGGGAAGTGTAGGTTTAATCCACAGTGGCTCTTAGATTCTCGATATAGTACCGTAGTTGGATAGCCATTTTAGAAGTGGATCTGGTGTTTTTCGCCCGCATAGTGTGATGTTGGTCTTAATTTTCAATTAAGTGGTCTTAAAAAGGTCTTAAATTTTGGGTAGTCAAACCTGGGGATACCCTGGAGAAGGTTGTTCACCTGCTTGAAAGTATGTTGTTACTTGGCCTAGAATGTTTCTATTTTGCATTTATTAATTAACAGGTGTTTTGACTACCACAAAACACCTTGAAAAATATGTATTCATTATATGGTTGGCACTTTACAGATCTGATTTATAATTTGGCCTAGTGGTACACAAGCTTGTCTTCATAGAGACAGATAAGTGTAATAAGTGTCCAGGCAAAGCAATGCCAGCTCCATGAAGGTAGAGCCAGAAAACATAGAGCATTTTAAAAACACGATTCATGGAAGGTAGATTCACGTAAATTCACTTGTATTCAGGCTGGTTTTATGTCTAGACTAGTTTATGGAGACAAAACAGACATAACAGATATCAACCACTGCAGCAACATCCTCACATTTAGTTAATAACGAGTTTAAGCCTGCTTTGCCCTGTCATTGGTCTTTACCGCTGGAGGATGCTGGGCCGCGATGTGAGGGTGAGTGGAGCCCGAACAGGACCACAGATCTTGGGTATGGCAAAGGTACAAAACCGCTGGGGACGAACAGTGCCGAACAAGTGACAGACTTGAGCCGTCCTGCCCAGAGAAGCAGCGACTGGCCTCAGCAAACCTGTCAAAAACCCAAGGACAACATGTCAACATACGGTCTATGGTCAACACAAGGCAGACGTGAGAGCATAAAGAGGCTAGCAAAGTGTTCCCAACAATCAACAACGCTTTGTCTCATACCCAGATTCGATTCATAACACATGCTATTTATCAAATATTAGATCAAAATGAAATAAGATACAAACCGCACGCTCTTCTTGCAAAGGCCGCGGCCATGTTTTCCTCCTGCTACAAATGTACGGAAGCCTGTACGACCAAGAATCCAACCAGAAAGCCAAGCGTTTGGTGCCATCTAGCGGCCACTTTCATGAGATCACTTCTACTAATCACTGTCACTGATATTTTATAGATGTCTTAACCCTGTAATGCCTGACCCCAGAAGTAGTGAACAGAAAATTCAGATTTTTTCTGGCGATATACTTTTCTCTTTTATTATGAACAGTGGTAAGCATGAAGCCAAATTTGGCCCACGATATAATTATATTTGGCCCGCGACATCATACAAATATTAGAGATGGCCCATCAGCTACAGATAGGCTATGGAGACATTATTTATTTAATAATGTATTTATTTATTCGATGTTTAAGCAAAACTATTATTTTACATTTATTTTAATAAAAGGTTTTCACATTATCTCGAAAGAAGAGAAAACATGTAGATGCTGTTGAAATTTTCCAGAAAATATTTAGTTTGGCCCATGACTTGATCCCCGTTTTGAATTTTGTCCCTCTGTGAATTTGAGTTTAACACCCCTGATCTGCAGGGTCAAATTCTGCCTTTCTCCACTTGTACTCCTTCGTTTTATTTGTTATTATTTGTTCTTTCGACCTGTGTTACTGTTGGACCTCCTGTACTAATCTGGTCTTCACTGTTTTCAAAGCCATCATCTGTATGTGCCTTTCTCTTCTTTTCTCTTTTCTCTTTGCTTCTACCACACTATTTTGTTGCCTGTGATATTGTAAGCTCTTCCTCTTCAAGACCATCATCAAGGATTTTATTGTCCTCATTGCTACTACCAGTACTAGAGTTCTCTTCATCATAATCTGCATTAGGGATCAAATTTTTATACAACACTGCATCATCTGCAAACATCAACTCCTCTATGTCGCTTGAATTGCCATCAGTGACACGTAGGACATCTTCAACAATGTACCGTTTAGCCATCTAAAGTAAGAAATATAGGTTTATCAGTTTTCTAGTGCAATTATTTGTTGTAAATATAACATTTCAATCTGTAATTTGTGTAACTGATTAAGAAAACATTTTTTATGATACACAATCATCAATAAAATGCATATTGCACCAAGAAAAGAAAGACAATGACAACTGAGGAATTTACTACCAAATTCCACTTTTTACCTGTAGTATCAAATTTTAACACACTACATACTAAAAAAAAAAAAAAAAAAAAATAGTTATAACTTGCTTCAACAGATTAAGTGTTCATGTTAGAATATTACCAAAAAATTCAAAGAAAATGTCACTGGAAAATCGTAAAAATCGCAATTTTCTTTACCTTGATCCAGTGAGTGGGGAACTATCTGAAGGTGGCCATCTTGGATTGTCCCATGTACTGTGTTTTAATTGTGGTAGTGATAAAGGTATCCACCAGGGGATGGAAGACAAGTATCAGATTGGATACAAGAGGGTTTTGAGTGAAGTTTTTACCATATGGTGATCCAGCAGGTTTCAAATAAAATTAAAAAGTATTAAATAAAAAAATATATAAACAATAACTGCACGTTTTAGATCTAATCACACCACTAGAAGGGACATGCATAAATGGCAGGTATGGTAGTAATGAGGATGGAGAGTGTACTGGTATGGTTTGAGCCCAGTTTAGATGTAACAGTCTTGATTTGTTCCTCTTTTAGACCAGGTTAAGTTCCGGGTTTAGTCCCAGTTTTGTGCACATGACCAAAGGCATGCTTGATATGATAAACACATTGTAGTGATTATATAATAAAGACTAAATGGTTCTGGTTGTGATGGCCCACCCACTACTTGTTGTTCTCCATAGGTATGTATTAGGAATTATCTGGAATGCTCCACAGAGTAGCATTAAATATGGAGACAAGCAGATGATGACGCCAGGACAAATTACATGTTAGATCAGTGGAAAGTAAGAATGCATGTTTTACAAAGTACTTTTGAGAATAAAAACACATGGAACTGAATAAATACAAAATCGACCAGCTTGATGCCATAGAGTGGAACATTCCAGGCAAACTAATAATGAAATCACCACAAAGTTACATTCTGCAACTATAATTCATGAGCATCATTAAAGGTATGTCTTGCCTAACAGGCCAATACTCCATTGATAAAAACAGTCTACTGTACAGCATTTTTTTCTCTGTGTCCCTGGACATGCTCAAACATATTTATCTCCACTGCTTTGGTTTGTTAGTCACTGTTGGTCCTTGTTGACCTAAAAATAAGTGTGAAAATGCATACAAGAATGTTGTAAATATGAATACTAGCCATTGTTATGTGTGGTAAGCTGACAGGGCAACATTAAATTAAGATTTTTTTTCCATGTATTACTATAATTATTCTTTTTTTTGTTAAAACATAAAAAATATGAGAACATGAACACAATTAGGAAACAGGTTTCAGAATTTAAATACAAAATTCAAGCAACCAAAAATGCTTTGCAGACAACTCGCATAAAATAAAGAGGACAGACTCCCAAGTGTGAAGTAAATCAATTACCTCAAAGAAAAGAGAATGTTTGCACCAACATACCTCTAATAATCTAATAACGTTTACAAAGTGGTCATGTGTAGAACAGTGTCATGTCTACAATAGACTTATGTGTGTTTTGTAATGAATCAAAGGATGGTGACACCCTGGTCACAAAAAGCAAAAATATCATGCTTAGTCCATAAAGCAGGCATGTCACCAGCCCGCATACACAGGCTCAGCATCACATGGGATGCCATAGTATCGGCCCTGGGGTCGCTCTTTACGCAGCAGAGGGGCCCTCGCCACTGACAGCTCCCCATCTGTGTCTCTGCGCCGACGAAGCAGCATGAGGATGATGAAGAGCAATGCCACTGCAATAGGAGCAAACATTTAAGATCAGTAGTGAATGATAGAGACAGGCATTTTTGAGACAAATCATCTAAACATCAATATTATACTTGCCTCCTCCTCCAACTACAAGCAGAGCTATAGTGACAGGGGCCAGTTCACACGTGTCCCCTGCTTTCCGGAAGAAGGTCTCCATGCAATAACCAGGGGCCAGACTTCCCTGAGGACAGAACGCATCGCTCGGGCACTGGATTGGATTCACATCTGGACTCTGAAGAACAAATACTGAGTGACAAGATACAAAACAATGTAAGACGTGAGTGTGTACAGAGCTTACAGGGCAGTAGTGGTTCTCTGGGCAGATCTCACACTGCTCCTGACCCCAGTGGATTTGGTAGGAGCCACTGTTGCAGATTTGGCACATGGTTTGGCGAGCTGGCTTATGCATGCCTGTACAGAACAGAAAGCTCTCCTGACTGCTCAGTGACAACAGTGATGCTGAAGGAGTTTAAAAGACTGACCTGGTCGACAGGGAGTACAGTATGTGGCACCATTCTGCAGAGCCTCCTGACCCGCTGGACATGTTTGGCACTTTGAGCAACCAGATGAGCTGAAAAAAAACAACAACAAAAAACCCCCATAAAATTTCAATAAATAATAGCTTGTAAAAGGCACAAATCTATTTTAAATAGACTGATCTTTTAAGTTCGTCTGAATCAATCTAAGTAACAACTGTCTTTAATTACTGCAATTGTATTAGAGGAGTTGTGACATATTAATTTATTGGAAAACACTTATCCAAAATGTGTCCCAGTATGTATTAATCATAATGGTCTATATAAAGTTTTGTTAATGAATAACCACCACAGTGTGGAAGCACAGACAGACTTGTGAGATCAAAGCATGTGATGCCTGATGTGGGAGTTAGATAAGTACTTTTCCAAACACAAATGTTTGGACTGTAGTAACCAGGAAGAGCAAAGAGGTTTTTAAGATTACTTGCAAAAGGTTCCCAGTGAACATGGTGAACATGATGTGGAACTCTGCAGAGATGAGAAAGAACCTGAGGAAACAGGACAGTTAGATAACATCCACAGCCAAAGCATCACGAGTGCGAGTTGAGTCATGGTCTGAATTGTAGATTAGTTATTTTGTTTCATGTCAGATATGATGACTGACCTGGAGAGCAGCTGATGCAGCTATCTGCTCCAGTGATGTTGTTGAAGGACCCTGAAGGACAGGCATGGCACAGGGGACTCCCTGTGAAACTGTGAGGGATAAAATACATTTGAGTCCAAGCTCTCACATATAAATCATTACTTATATATACACTGGAGTTATTACTTGGTGTAGAAGCCACGGGCGCAGGGCAGACACTGCTGCTGTCCCGCCAGAGGCTGATAGGAGCCCACAGGGCACTGTAGACATGCTCCAGGAAATAGACAGAGCCCAGGTTCAGTACAGCATGCACACAGCAGAGTGTCTGGAATGAGAATTGGAATACATATGGCACTGCAGGTTATTATGGTGGTTCTGATGAATGAAGGCCCAGAACAGGACCTATTTAAATCAGAGCCACTAAACTGTAGTTTAGCAGTTCTGCCACTTGTTCCCTCAGGCCTCGACTAAACCACATGTGAGAGGTGGAGAAGAGACTCACTGTTGTCGTACTGGGATCCAGGGGCACATGGCTCACATGCGGATGTGTTGAAGGCAGAGCACCCTGTGGTGGTGCTGATGGGTGTGCCGGGTGTACTGGTCAGGAGCGTCAGGGGGGTGGTTGGAGCGGTCACAATCTCATTGACTGTGGTGTCAGTGAGGGCAGGGGTCAGAGTAGTCTGACTCAGCACTAGCCCTGGAACACAAGCAACATGTGTGAAATTTAGAAATGTCACTGAATCATTGGTCACTTATGTGTGTCCAGTTTACTTCATCGCCGTATACAATGCAGGAATATAGTACAAATTAAATTGGGCATTTTCTATTCCTGCAGCTGTACTAGCTTATACAAGCAGTAAGAACACTCAAAAGCCCAGGATTATGATAGCTTCCCACCTTAACACAGAGGCTCAACATAATACCTTACCCCCAATACCCTAAAACAGCTCAAAACAACACCAGCCAAAAACAGTTCTATCCTTAAAGTCCTTAAAGATCCAAATGGCTGTGGTACAGCATAGAGATGATAGGACATGAACCAAATCACAAAGTCTTGAAATTGGAACCGTCATGTACTAGATCAAATCAATGTTAAAATTGAGAGATGAAGTAAAGGAGGGACACGAGATTTAAATGGGTGCCAATGTGCAAATCTTAAAGCCTATTCTCAAAAACAAAAACAAAAAAAAGTGTTGATCTCTTTGTGAAACAAGCACAGGTATGTTTTTGTCTCACAATGTCACTCATATGTTTTCCATGTGAGTCTCACTTTCAGTCTTCAGTCTTGTGGCTTTCATGGAAATTATGCATTGTCCTTGTTAACTTATTTTTTTGGTTCTTGGACTGAAGTCAGAGAGTGACCCAGCACAACCAGCCACACAGAGTCCATATTGTGGCTCTAATCACATTAGCCATGTGCTCTTGAATATGCACCTCCTCCTCCTCCTCTTGCAATGCAATTATTAACCCTGTAATGCCTGACCCCAGAAATAATGGACAGAAACATCATCCTCTTTAGGCCTCTTGCTTCTTTTCTCTTTAATTATGAACCGTGGTAAACATGAAAACAGCAGCTAAGGCTGTAAAGAACATTGGCTCTTATTTTTTCATACTGCTTCCTTTTCCAGTAACTTTTTCTTGTATTATATAATTATCTATAATATAACAAGAACATCGGCCTCTTATTTTTTTCAAACTGCTACTGCTAAGCTCACACCTTTCTTCAATACCTTCATCTGCATTCTCAATAAATGGAACATCTAGAGCAGACATGTCAAACTCAGGCCCAGGGGCCAAAATTGGCCAGCGATATAATTATATTTGGCCCCCGAGATCATATCAAACATGTAGCTTGCCTGCTGACTACAAAGAGACATTATTTATTCAAAATTCTGTTATTATTAGGCTCATGCTAGCAAAGGGCCTATTACTATTGCAGAGCGATGCTCCTAGTGGCCGGAAAATGGAATGGCGCGGCGTGACTCGCCCGTAGTGACCAGTGACCCTCACCATGACGTAACAATGTGCCAGAGGTTTCTGAAAATTTGTAGTTTGTTGGCCAAAAAAAGCAGAACATTGTTCTCATATCAGAATATTATTATTCTTTCTTTCTTCTTTCTTATTATTTTTCTCCTAACCAACCCATTTTTCACCCACTGAACAATGACAAAATGTCCTGAAATTTTGCCATTTGTTAAAACTTGTGCTTCTCTAATTTTTGGCTATTTCCATTTTTCAAAAATAAATAAAATGGCTCGTCAGCGCCCCCAAACAACTCAAAAATGCATTAGGGAATACGAATGAGGGCAATTTCATGAAATTTGACACAGAAGTCGATCATGACAAGACAAGGAAAAAATATTATTACACATTATTAACACCATGTGCTCCATCAATATTGGATTAAAGTTTGCTTTTACAAACTCCTCCGAGGGCGTTCACCCGAACCGGCTCAAATTTGGTCCACATTATCTTAAGAGGTGGATCATCAAAACTTATCCAAGTTTTTGACACAAGTCTTACGGTCTCTGAGCAGTGAAGCCAGAAAAAAAGGCACACAATTTTGAAGATTTACAAATTGCTCCCATTTGCTCAAACAAACTCTCATTTCAGTGAAATTTGAAGCATTGTTAAACTCTCTGCCCTAAAGCTACTTAATGTTAAAATTATTAATTTTAGCGCCCCCTATAGATTGAAACAAAATTTAATATGGGAGAACAAAATTTAGTTGTTCAAAAAACTCTGAAATTTTGTACAAAATTCCATTTTGGCATCCTGATCCAAAAAGTCAATGACACCTATGCCATATTTTTTATGCCATTGCCATAGCGATGACATAAACTCTCCATGTTATTCCATTGGTAACATTGACAAATCGCACAAACTTTGGCTGATTTCACTCAAAATTTAATCGTGGGTTCACACCCTGACCCTGAACAGACTGATTTAAGAAAAATGGGTGCAATAGCGCCCCCTAGCAATTTGCACAAACTTTTGCCAATTTAACTCAAATATTAATCGTGGGTTCACACCCACACCCTAAACAGACTGATGTAAGAAAATACAACAACGGGTGCAGTAGTGCCCCTTAGATAATTTGAATAGAACAATAATGTTTTACTTGTCATAGATACACAAAATTTGATAAACATATTTGTGACATGGTGTAGATTAAAAAACTCAATGACGCCCACACCCCTTTTACATTATGTTGCCATGGCAACAAGCACAAAATCTGTCCTTGCCAATGGGATGTCTTCACACAAAGTTGGTGTTGAAAAAACAAATTTGGTAGCCAGATGCATCTTGGCAAAGAGGAACAAAAATTCATATTGCAATCACACCTCTTTACAAACTGGAAGTCCACCATCTTGGATTTTTAAATTTTTTTTAAATACATGCAAAAATTTTGTAGAATGGCAGGGTTAAGTTAAAAGTTAGGGCTAGGGTTGGGGCTACGGTTAGGATTACAACTAGGGTCAGGTTTAAGCTTAAGGTTATTAGGGTTAGTGCGAGGCGCGGCGTTTTGCAATTACAGGGTGTTTGTTTGCGGCGTGCGGTGTTTGTGTACCACGGTCTTTGCGGGACGTGGCGTAGGTGCACGCGAGGGCCGTTCATTGCCGCTTGCGGCTATATTTTATATTATGCTTGTTCTGGATTCAATGTTTAAGCAAAACTATTATTAAACATGTAGTTTAATAAGAAAAGGTTTAACTTTACATATCTCGAAAGAAGAGAAAACATGCAGATGTTGTTGAAAATTTCCAGAAAATATTTAGTTTGGCCCATGACTTTATCCCAGTTTTTAATTTTGGCCCTCTGTGAATTTAAGTTTGACACCCCTGATCTGGAGGGTCAAATTCTGCCTTTCTCCACTTGTACTCCTTCGTTTTCACTTTTTTCTTTGCAGATTTATTTGTTCTTTCGACCTGTGTTACTGTTGGACCTCCTTCTGTACTAATCTGGTCTTCACTGTTTTCAAAGCCATCATCTGTATGTGCCTTTCTCTGCTTTTCTCTTTTCACTTTGCTTCTACCACACTATTTTGTTGCCTGTGATATTCAAGCCCATCATCAAGGATTTCATCGTCCTCATTGCTCCTACTAGTACTAGAGTTCTCTTCATCATAATCTGCATTAGGGATCAAATTTTTATACAACACTTCATCATCTGCAAACATCAACTCCTCTATGTCGCTTGAATTGCCATCAGTGACACGTAGGACATCTTCAACAATGTACCGTTTAGCCATCTAAAGTAAGAAATATAGGTTTATCAGTTTTCTAGTGCAATTATTTGTTGTAAATATAATATTTCAATCTGTAATTTGTGTAATTGATTGATAAAAACATTTTTTATGATACACAATCATCAATTTAATGCATATTGCACCAAGAAAAGAAAGACAATGACAATTGAGGGACTTACTACCAAATTCCACTTTTTACCTGTAGTATCAAATTTTAACTCAATTTTATACACAATTTCACTACATACTAAAATGCAAAAAAATATGTAATCATAACTTGTTTCAACAGATTAAGTGTTCATGTTACAATATTACAAAAAATTCTAAAAAAATGTCACTGGAAAATCGTAAAAATCGCGATTTTCTTTACCTTGATCCAGTAAGTTGGGAACTATCTGAAGGTGGCCATCTTGGATTGTCCCATGTACTGTGTTTTAATTGTGGTAGTGATAAAGGTATCCACCAGGGGATGGAAGACAAGTGTCAGATTGGATACAAGAGGGTTTTGAGTGAAGTTTTACCATATGGTGATGCAGCAGGTCTCAGAAAGGCTTGTATCAAATGATGCATTTGGCATTATAGGGTTAAGGAACAGGTCATGTGGTTTCTGTGGCTATGTCTCCTCGGATGAATCCAAATGTTGCCGTGACTAACGCAATGGGAACTTTTACAGAAAAACTCCTTCTAATAATACCAAACCCTACATTTCATTTAGACGTCCACAAACAGGACAATTATAAACGCAAATTGACAAGTATCGCAATAACTTTTATAGGCCCACCTTTTCTGACATTTGCGAAAAATTACCCCTCCAGTATCGATTAATGACTTGTCAGAACTTTTGAAGAGTTTGTTTTACTTACCGAGTAGAGAGGCGGCAAAAAGCGCAGGCAGGGCTCCCCGGTCTCGCATCCCGCCGTGATTATCGAGCTGCACTGCCTCCAAACAATAAACTTCTCATCCCGGACCACGGCTCCTCAAACCTCCTTTGTTTTGACCGGGAGAAGCCTGCTCGCAGTGGGATCTGTCCCTCATCACAGTCATATGACAAATACGCATCATGTGATTCCGCTTTAGAGGAGAAAGAGGAATTGTCCAAGACAGTGCTATAATTGGCCAGCGGAGGGCGACACTGGCGCCTGCTGATTTTCACTGTAGCCAAAAATATTACAATATGAAGATCTCTTAGGTCAGTGGTTCTCAAACTTTTACCACCAAAGTACCAAAGCTTTATCAAAATTAAATTAGGACTAAATATGGTCTGGGATTAATCTAGCTCTAAATGAGACTGAAGGCCGGATAAGGCAGTTCTAAATAATTATTATTAATTAAGGAGGATAAAAACATGATTAGATTAGTCTCTAGATAAAACAAATTGCCTACTCACAACTGCAGATGATTTAATGTACCACCAGGGGCTGCCCTTGTACCACCACTGGTACCACAGTTTGCGAAACACTGTTTTAGGCCAAATATGACATCACTCAGGATGATAACAATACTATCAGACATTGGGAATGTTATAGATCCTGTATATCCCTCAGTCGTCCAGTTGTCATCCATATAAATAAATAAATAAATAAAAATTGGACAAAGTTCGTTCTTTTTTGCTTTTTACATCCATTTATTTGACTGATGCCCGTGATTCATTTATGAAACATAAAGGACTATTCAAGGTTGTCACCATGGTGTCCATAGTAGCCTCCAGTGACATTAGTATGTCACATTAGAGAAACAGAGACATGCTTCTGTATTTGATGTGCTAACGTCTGCTCCAGTTCCCCCCAGTCTCTCTGCTCACAGCTCCCCTGCTGAACAACATGTATGCAGTGAGTTTTAACATTTAAACATGATCATAACAAGGTGACAGGTTTACATAGGTCTTGTTGAAGTGTACAACAATAACTTACACTGCTGAATGACTCTCCAGTGTGAGATGGTCTGGTGCTGCTCTTGTCCCTGTCTCTGAATGAGTTGCGTTCCTGTTTCTTCTCCTCCAGCCTTTTCTGCAGAGCCAGGACAGACTCATCTACAGTCACTTTCTGTGGACAACCCTGGTGCGGCTTTGTCTGCCCCTTCCTATCACAAAATATAGTACAGAAACAACAAAAAACATTGACATTTTTGCCTATTATTGCAATAAAACCCCTCAGCTACTTTGAACCATGCTCGCTTGAAAATGATAATAATTATAATTGTATATATTGTTTCATTCCCAGGGTGTTTACTTCCCCTCAGCATGGTACCTGTGGGGGCAAAAAGCAATCAGCCGATGTTAGTTTTGAGGAAGGATGAGGCTACAATATTTGTTGTGCTACTGATCATTTATGTTGATTTTAATAGGGTAAACCTTTTTATTGTTTCTGGTACCTTGCGGTTTAATGTACATGACAAATAAATGCATATTTGAACTTATATTATGGCAGAAACTGGCAATATTCCATATCTACTATATACATACTAAAAACTAAAAACCTAAAACATGCCAATTTTCAGTCCCTGAGTAAGTTGCATTCCTGGTTAGGATGTGGAGGTGATAACATAATATCTACAGTAATGAGAAGCAATAGCGAACCTGCTGGTTGTGGCCTGTCTTAGTGCATTATGGTGGAGCTGGATAGTGTCCAGCTTGTGCTGGAGCATTTGTTTCCTCCTGTGCCTCTGCTGGTGGATGTTCTGTTGTCGCTGCAGCCTCTCTGCAGCCTGGGCCCTTTTCAGCAGAGCCAACCGCTCCCTGAGCTCACACAGAGACATCTCTCCCAGCAGCTCATGGCCTCCAGTCTGAGGATTATGTCATGTTGAGATATGTTATACACATTTAAGTACTTACTACTCAGAATCATCTGCTGCTCACCTCTTTGTCATCAAAACTGCAACTTCTGGTGCGAGACGTTGATTCAATAGCATGAATTTGACGAATAATGTCAAATTTTCTGATCATTTCTTCCTGGGCCTCTGCCAGAGCTCTGCGTAGGAGTTCTTGACTCTCCTCAGAGACCTCCTTTACTGAAGGAAAAGACACTACAGGTTTAATTCACACAAATGTAGGGTATATGCCATTGTGAGAGAAGTGATATCTTTGCACACCCATGTTCATCTAGCTGTGTATGTTTGTTTTACTTTTCCTACTTTTGTAAAACCTTCTCTAGTCATATTTGCATCTATCACCTGTGTTTGACAGCCCTGTACATAAAGTATATAACAAAGACCTACCGATCTTTTGTTTCACTGCATACAGCTTTTCTTTGGCAGCTTTGGCGTTCTTGTGACCATCTGCGACTTGCTGTACCAACTCTTTCATCTCCTTCTCCTCCTGCAGCCTCTTGACAGCGTATCTGCGCATCAACTCTGCTGCCTTCAAATAACAATAAAAACTCATGTTGGTTAGAACAGTTAGTATTGTATATAGTACAATCATATTGTCTATAGATTCCACATATTGTAGTCAAATCTCCTGGAACAGTCCATTCTTTACACTTCACACTCATCACCTCTTCTTTCTTGAGCTGTGCAGCTGCATGATTCTGGGCTATAAGACGGGAGCGGGCCAAAGCTGCCTCTTCATGGCTAATGCGACCCTCTAGACGTCTGCATTCCACTTTAGCTAACTGCTCCTGCAAGTCCTTCGCACGCATTTCACTTTGCCACTGCAGGAAAGCAGAAGGCTCTTGTGCACCTTCGACCAGACACTCCATTCTGTTTTAAACACACTACAGGTTTAACTCATACAAATAAACACTCTCATGTAATACACGGAGCATTAATGCATATCAGAAATATGGAGCATATTACCTCTGAAGCTCCTGTTTAAGCTGACGATCAACCAGAGCCCCCTGTCTCAAGATAGCTGCACTGTTCATCTTAATATGCCAGCTGGACTAACAAAGACACACATGACAAGCAATTATAAATTATATACTAGTGTATATTAAAAATTATAAATATAAACATCTACCAGTTATTTGGGGGATTTTTTAATTTGAGCTAAACAGGCAGATATATTTTCTTAAAAACATTTAAATCAGTTGGGATGAATATATTCAAGTACTATTAACAAATCCATTTATTTTTGTCCATATAATCACACAGATGTGCCATACACACATAATATGAACTTACCTGTTTTGTTGTAGATGGAAGTGGTGTAGACTGGAAGGAGTTAAACTTTAGTTTAGAATGGATGCTTTCCTCTATCTCAGACACCACTTTCTGTGAAACAAACATGTGTAACACATTGTCAAATGTGTGCTAAAGATTTGAAAAGAGATCTATAAGTAGCTAGATTGATTTATGTATTTATTATTGTTAACAATATTGTCATTACAGTCTTTAAAATACAATATGTTTATCTTATCTCAAAATAAAATGGTTTGAGTAAAAAAGAAAAAATAACATACTAACATCACCTCTCATCATCTCTCTTGTGTCATTTTGATAGTGAACCCATAACAAGTTGAGTTTAATGGGAAATCATTTAGACAATTTGCCTGGAAAATCCAGATTGATATTTCTCTGTATTTTTTATACAAAGGGATATCACATCTTTGTCAAGTATTGAAGAAGTGTGTATTCTGGATCCCAAGTAAATACAAAGTACTTTACTTATAAATGAAAGTTGTAAGTGGACCCTAAAATCTGAATAAGCTGAAAATTTCTGTTTGGGGTTGTGCCCTCAGATCATCATCATGTGTTCTCCAATAAGTCAAGTTTGTAAGATGTTTTTTGTAAGCATGAACGTAGACTTAATCCCAGATTAATTGTAACTGAACAGTATGATTAAGTATATCCACTTAATGTATTTAGTTCAGGCTTTATTTAAATTGCAAGCATGCACATTTTCAAATGTTAGAAAAAGCATGTTCTGTCCTCAACCTATATTATTAAAGTTATTGCCTGGAGGCTGGCCATGCTGTTTGTGAAGTCAATATATTCTTTACAAATGACAGAACAAATCAGACAACGCTCAAAGACACAAAGGATGTGAAAAGTAGGAGTACATTTTTTTTTACCTGGTAGTGTCTGTACTTGTGTGGACTCCGAGACTCAAATGGTTTTGCATGATTGACCTCGTACAGCAGTCTCTTTCCCATGAAATAGATACAAGACAAAAAAATCACATAATATAATGCATTGTGATCACTTTATGTACTGCTCAGTGCACATGGGGAACAGGTAAATGATAGTAAAAGAAATATTTCAAGAAATAAACACACCTCATTCTTCTGTTGATTATTTTGTTTGATGTCCTCTATGATTTTCATTTCTTTTGGAGCCTTGTAGGTTGTTCTGGGCACCTACAGAAGATTATCTGTTAGTCTGAGCAGATGGTGAGGAGAGAGGTTCAGGGGGACATGACTGACCGGCCGCACTTTGTCCACCTTAGGGATGATCTCAAGCACAGGGAGGGCTCTGGGTTTTGGCCTGGTCAGAGCAAACTCCTGAGGTTCAGTGGTTTTAGTGGGAGCCTTCCTCAGCTGACTCCAACATGCTGTTTTCACTGCCAGCTGCTCCAGGAGAGCAATTATCTCAGGACGCCACCTAACAGGGGAACATATGAGGACCATAAACATAAAAAATGACACAAGGAGATTCTTGAAAGGATAAGTATTCAAGTAACAAAAATATGTTTAAAAAGACTTCTCCACAACCTGAGAGTAGGCTCAATCCACTGTTTTTGGACATGTTCAGCATCATAAATGCTCACCCACTTCTCCTGGACTAGTGTGGTGAGGTTTGAGAAGAAGAAAAGCAAGAACTGCAAACACAGACTTAAGACTTAGACAAAGTGTTGTTTTCTTTTTTTCTCTTGGGGTGAGATATCCATTACTTACTGTCTGTACTTTGTGAACACCAAGGGATTTGACGATGCTGCCGAAACATTTCAGTCCCAGTTGATCCAAGAAACAAGTGGTCAGATAAAAGACAACTAAGCAATATAAACATTTTTAATTTAGGACATGATGTGATCACAACATTGGGAGAAAATGTTGCTGAGTAAACTTACTGTGATACATGCTGAGGTCACTTTTGGACACGCTTTCTGTACTTCTATAGAAGAGGTTGACAACAGCATCAAGTAATTGTTTGTGCTCAATACATCCAGAAACAGTGTCGAGGATGAAACATTTGTGCAGGGGATCCAGGCTCTGTGGAGATGCACAAAAAAGTATTTAGGCTTAGCACATGTAGGACAAACTCTGAGGGACCAACCTGCAGATCCTTAGAGATGTCTTCTACAAAGTCGTCAAGACACTGCCTGCTCTCTCTGAACCGGTCCAGCAGCGTGATGGCGTCTCTCACGAGTGGCACATACTTCGAGGGCATTTTCAGCATCTAGAAAAATAGTTCCGTGATGTCAGGATTCACAGTTTAGGTCACAGTAACCATCCTGATTATAATAAACTACGCTGGGCCACACAACATTAACCCAATTCTGCTGCGATAAGGTTAACGCAAACCGTTACCAAGTCCTGATGTCGCTTGGCAACCAATTGTAAACGTAAACAGTCCAAGGAGGACACATTTTTGCCCGCAGAATTTACATTATAATACATTGTTAGTTTGCATGTTGACATGTTTTAAATGACCTTACTATGTCAAAGAGCTGCAAAAATCCCCATATATATATATATATATATATATATATATATATATATATATATATATATATATATATATATATATATATATATATATATTTGAGAGACAACTAAATTCAGATGTAAATATCTGAATTTGTGATTATTATTAACAACATACAGACGGCAAAATAATAATAATAATTCTAATATGTATGATTTTTTTCATAATGTCCTACAACACGTGATAAATAAACAACATGTATTTTTCTTAACAATACCCAACACTTGAATCCGTGCCGCATAGATCACCCTTAATCTCTCATTTATCCCATTGGAAAAACAACCTTATCGGGTAAACATGTTTTGCTGATGGGAGAGGACTGTACGTGAACGCATCGTTTCCTGGGAAAGTGGGAGTTCAACGTTGTCACTGAGTCAACGGCGGAGCTCAGGCGGAGCAGCACAAAGCCTCAGCCCCGGGCCCAGCGCAGCGGCACAGGGACCCGATCAAGAGCCGTGTGAGTCCGCTTGTTGTAAGAGACAGGCACCGACACAGAGGAGGGGACACGGAGTCACAGAGAGGAGCATAATCATGTTATAATCACGGAGAGAGGACAGTGATAAGATAAGAAGAGCGGCTGGAGAGGCAGACAGCAGTGCCTCGTTGCTTTTGTAAACTCAACTGTACACTGGACACTGGGACTTGAATGATGATGACTGAACCGGGAATACCCGTGTGCACCGGCAACCCGGGAAAATGGAAATGAGTCACGGTTGTCTGTTAGCTTTACCTTCGCCGCGTGTTGTTTCACCGAGGTTTTATTTGTTAAATTGTGCTTCTTGACGGCAGCGTGGCTAGCCTAGCCTCGAGTCGTTTACAGTACAGGTAGAGCAGCAAGAAGAGGAGCTTCTGGGACAAAGAGCGGCACTGAGGAAACAATGAACCGCTTCCGCAAATGGCTTTACAAGCCAAAGGTAAGATGTGCTCATAAAACGCATTGCCACGATTGCGTTATTGTGAAATGCTTTACCATAACATAGCTAACGGCGCTACTCGTTAGCATCAATGTTCCTGATCAGAGATCACCAGAGTCTGCTAGCGTTAGCCGCCGTGTGAATGAACCGAGGCAGGAGCCTTTGTGATTGTTCAGCTTTTGTTACTCCTGTACCAGGGACTGCGCCCTGTAAACACAACTCACGTGATTTAACTGTCACTGTCATGTTTGCACCTTGATTCTTCTGCTTTGGTTTGTTCTCTAAACAGTGTTTTCACACGATTGCTTTGCTTAGTAATCTGTGTTACAGAGATGTATCTGTGATTGATGACAGAGCAGAGGGCGACAGTACTGAAGCTTCTTTGAATCATTATTACTTGGTCAGGGCAGGTGAAGCACCTTTCTTAATGCCTTAGAAAGGCCACTCTTTTCACTCATTAAACACATATTAAAATGTAATTGTTCTCTTTAAGATACAACCAGGAACTAAACTTCTTGATAAACAAGAGAACCTGCCCAAAATAAAAACAGGACATTTCAGTAGATGTAGGCCTACCTTTTCCGGGCGTTTAAGTACTAAGTCTATACATTTAAATATATTTCAGCTGACTCAAATGAGAATGACATTTGTTCAAATATACAAGCAGTCCTGACACAGTGTAATCTCCACTGTTATGGTTATATATTCTGGTTATATTTGCAAATCTGTCAACAATTAACAATTGCTTGACACTTTTAATCTCCCACTTCATAGTTGGGATAAAATTTGAGGCTTTTTGTCATGTCATGTCCTGTCATGGACTTGTGGGTGATGGTATAGTGCCATCAGATGTGTTGATGCCCTGTGCTGGTGTGGACATGAGCGCTCACCTGCGTCACTGCCCTCCTCTGTCCAACCACATGTGCTGTCACAGCACTGTGGTCTCCATTGTAGAGCTTAGGACTAAGTGCTGGGCTTCTCCACACTATTGTCACAGCACTGAATGAGCTGAAGCGCTGAGCTGTTACATCAGACCTCTTTGTGCCAAATTATAGCCTTGGACGGTAGTCTCATCTATTACACTTCAGTCTGGTGGCTTTCAATGATGTACTTAAGAGAAACTGACTTAAATCGGTGTAATGATGTATGGGAGAGCCTAAAAATTACTTGTTATACTATGTACGATCACTGCCCCTATAGGAAGCCATGGGCAAGCTAAGTTGTGTGGGATCAGAGAGTGGTGCATACACTGTCCTGCCGAAGACTCCTGGATATTTCCTTCTCGGATGTATCCTGTGCAGGAGGGCGTCTAAGCCCACAGCTGCTCTGCCATGAGTGTGTGGCACATGGCTGCATGAGTGGAGGTTATTCGTTAACATGATGCTCTGAACAGCAAGTGTCTGCTGTACTTTTACAAGTCTCATCTATTTTGTGGTGAACAAGCTACGACAGTAATGACATAACATATAAATACTGGGCTAGCTGAACCTCCACCTTGAGCGAGCAAGATGAAGGATGGGAGGGGTTGTTTGGTGCGGGACGGCTGACAGCGGAGGAACCACAGGGACACAATCTGCTGACTCATTCTCCACAGGCTACAGCCAGCCACCTCCACAGTCCAGTTCAAGCTTCTGTTTTCTGTAATAACTGAATCTCCAATTTTGTATTTGCTAATGGTTTGAAATCGAGTTAAACTATTCTATTCAACACAAGACAGTATTTTTTTTTTTACTCAATAGCTCTTGTTTTATTACTTGATTCCAGTAATGTACACATAATACACACATCAGAATGAAATGGATGGTATAGCCCTCATTAAACTATGGAACACAAAACTGCATTAGAGCGTGTCCAGCTGGTGACATGTCAATCTATAATAACATCCCTGTTTTGAACGTAATCAGCTCATGATGTTTAATCTACACATTGAGCTATAGCTGTGGAGTAGTGAGCGTCTCCATAACAGGTCTTGCTGTAGAACACAGGCTTTACCCTAATCTAACACTCCTCTTTTACTTTGTCATCATAAGCTCTATGATTTATATAGAACGAATTGACGGCTGAACTCAAGACTGGTGTGAGACAAAAATACAATTTGTATTTAATTCATTTAAATAAACAAACATATTTCTCTTGAGAAATGTGTGTCATTACTTGACCAAGAAGATAACATGAATTTAGTGGAAAATATTAGCTTAACCTAGTCTTAACAGTCAGTAAAATTGTTGTTTATTATATTTGAAGATATCAAGAGGCTCCACGAAGAAATCAAGTGAAACCTATTACATTGTCCTACTGATGTATCAAGGTTTCCAAAGCAGAAACCAAAACCACACCATACCTTGAGAGTTTCAGATCTCTGAAGTCAAGCAGGGTTGACCTGGTTAATACTTGGATTTGGAGCCCCACATTGCCTAGTCTGTGGTGTGTGAGTGATTGGTGGTTGGTATGGCAGTGACTTAGCTTGACTGCCTCTTTTTCATCACTCTGCCTCTGGGCAGCTGTGGCTGCTTATTACTTATCATTACAGAATATGGATTGAATGAATAATGCAATGTAAAGCATTTTGGATGTCTTGAAAAGCACAATTTAAATCCAGTGTATTATTATACTTTTGACTGATTTCATCATGTTTTTTGCGTTTTGGACTGTAACATGAGATATAGATTTTTTTTTATTTTTTAAATTTACCAGTGCCAAACTAAATAAGTATTGTATATTTCTATAAGCACAAACCATATCATATTATGACAGCACTGACTTGCACTGGGCATGGCCTGTGCACATGCGACTGTAGCTCCTGTTGGAGTCATCATTATTAATGAATGAGAGAGAGAGCAGCAGCATGGATCATATGCAGAGAATAACCAGGCTCATGGGGAGTGCATCATGCACAGGAAGCACTGGCATCTTCAGCAGAATAAAGGCAACAAAATACTGACAGGCTGTGGGCGGCAGTGGTGGTGGTTTAGAACCAAACCGCCTTCTGATAATCATGTCAGCAGGGATCTGTCTGTTCTTCTAAAACAAATTAACCTGCATCAGATGTATGCCCTCAACAGAAACAAAAATTTTAAAAATGTATTCGTTCCTTTGTGTTTTGACTTTAAACACAAGACATAATTCTTATGTCTGCTACTGCTTTACTGTAGTGCTCTATAATGTTTTATTTGTGTGTGTGTTCATAGCGGACTGACCCCCAGCTCCTGGCCCAGTTCTACTTTGCAGATGAGGAGCTGAATCTGGTGGCCACAGAGCTGGATAGTCTGGACGGGCGCAAGGACCCTCAGAGGTGCACACTGCTGGTCAATCAGTTCCGCTCTTGTCAGGTCCGTACACACATCCAGTAGGCTCTAATTATGCACACAATTACAGAGACCATTATGAAAAGGATAAACAAACCACACAGTGAAGCACTATCAACTGAAAGTGATAAATACTACTCAAATAAATGGATGAATGGATTATCTAGTTTACTAGCCTGCTCTAGCTGTATGGACAGCCATGTTTTCATACTTACCTAAAGAAACAAATAAAACAAAAGAAGAAGAAAAAAAAACATAATCTGTCATTTAAATTACAAGAGAACTTAGTTGTAAATTCCTTAAACTTTTTTTGTAACTGAAGGCGATGAGTGCAGACAAGCAGGCTCTGTCCTGCAGCCGTCTCTACAAACAAAAGAGCAGTCTGTCTGATAGGGCTGTACTCCAAATATCGTATTGTGATACTTTTAAACAACATACATTATGTACTTGCATACCTGCTGACTACTGCATTAAGGCTTATGCTGCTGAGCTGAAAACGGGACTTGTTCATTTATCAATTGTGTTCTAATATTAAGGGAATCATGGAAACCAAATTTTACTGCCTGTTTATTTCTTTGAAAACCACAAATCTCCCACACAGGCTGGTATTATGACATCATATTCTAGCCCATGAACACAACTAATTGCACATTAGAGACTTTTACTGCCACATAAATGCCATACCCTGGGTTAGGAGTATGAGAAGCCTCCCTGATCAGCAGTTCTCTCCCAGAATAGAACACTCTGTCCAAAATGTTGGACTTGGACCCTTTGCTGCAGCTATCTGTACTTTGACACAGCTCTCTTTTGGGATTATTGGCATGTGGATTGTAGGTATCTGTAAATTCTACTGAAAGAGATGAAAGATGGACTTGGAACAATGTGCATGCACAAGGTTGAAGAAGGCAATAACCAGAGGAGGCCAAATGAAAAGGATTGTCTTCACAAAGAAAAGATTTGTCTTTCTGTGTAGCGACATCTCTATAACTAGACATTTCTAGGTCTAATCTAGGGCTGAACCAGGTCTTAAAGTGGATTACATAATTGTCACAGTATTAGAAATTTCTCAAAGGAGGACCACATGTGAATACAATTGACTCTATATTAGGTACCACCAAAAGGGACTTGCATACCGTTGACTTGATGGTTTTGGCCTGTGCCACATTTTTGTGATTTTTGAGGGCAGCAAATGTGCTAAAAAATAAAGTATTATTTGAGTGTGCTAGGAGTGTTCTATTGTTCTTTTTCACAGGACAATGTGCTCAATATCATCAATCAAATCATGGATGAATGTATCCCTAACGACCGGGCCAACCGAGACTTCAGCGTCAAATTCCCAGAGGAAATCCGCCATGACAACCTGGCAGGGCAGCTGTGGTTCGGAGCTGAGGTACACTCTCGCCTACAGCACACAATAGACTTGAAGTGATTGAAAAGCAATTAACTTCCTTTACTCTGTAATAACCACCTTAT